AAAAAAAACCTGCATCAATAATGTGTCTCTTGACTATCAGTTTACGTGGAGAATAACCAAATCAATTTGATGAGATTGTAGAGGTGAAATATATCTATAACAGTTACATGTACCCTATTACACGTTTAACACCCTATACTAATATCCACAAACACACGTATTAGGGAACGTCTCAAAACCTGGGAATATATAAAAATGTACAATTGCCTTTTTTCCAATAAATATCTTTAGTAACATAGAGATATTATACTGTTTCTCCAAATCTCTTTTGTCTATTATTCTTTTTGGTAAATCTTTACGATATTGTGATAAAACGTCTTGAAAATTAATAAGAGGAACAATGTTTACAGGCATGCAAGATCTAACACCAGACTGTCACTCGGGTATCGTTATAAAGAACGTTTCTCCACCCCAGAAATATGTCGTTTACTTCAACTCTCTATCAGTTTAATTGGACTGTCAATGGATCGTGTGTCATTAAGTCCTGTTTCAAAGCATTAAAATCAATACAGAACATAGTTGCAACGTTTGACGTTTTCATCTTCATGAATTACAATTATGATTTTCCACGCGATGCCATATATATAAAAAACATTTTTTGAGCACATATACCAGCTCTGCAACCTTTCTATCTAAATACGTAGTTGTATAGATGCTATCATACATGTGCTTCTGAACGCGGGCTGTCAACACCTATCAGTAGACGTAATGTGATGTTCTTCCTTTGGTAACTCAATTTAAAACGGAAAATAACTCTTCAATGAAACGGAAGTAAATTAATGGTCATGGGAGATAATTCTGTTGGAAATATCATTAGTTTTACTTATCCAATTCGCACAAGAATAGGAAAGTTAACCAAAAAGACAAGTTTATTGTACAAAAGACTAGTTTGTAAGAAACGGCATCGATCATGAGGGAGAACGCCAGGTACAGTGCGGGAAAACTGGGGGTAAAGGCTATTTATCGTTTTCCCTGCATTTATAATTGCCTACTTATTCATACTTCATACCCACATTCAAATTCAATGGTTAACCTTTCAGATCCTTTACTACTTTCTGTTAATGAAATAGAAGCACGTATAAAACAGTGAAATAAAACGGCGCATTTATACAATTCTTTCGTGTTTGAAATAAAATAATAATAAACACCGAGTGAATTTAGATTAATATTTCAACAAAGCAGGAGAAAAACTGGAATTTGATTGTGCGTTTACGAACTGCTATAAGTTGTTTAGAAAACCGGTCTATATTCTTCAAAGATGTATATTTAAAAGTGAAAGTTGAAAGCAATCTGCCAGACGGAAAGTAGTGCATGGCTTTCTAAAATTGGTAATAATTAGACAAATGCTCACCTTCCGCTTGGATTCAGTCATACGTTGGTCACGTGTTGTCATGGCCTCGCCCGGCGCCCTATCTATCCACATGACGGCGCTGATCCGGCCGTACGTAAACATGAGTATAACGAGGGGTATGAAGTATTGTAGTAACATGATCATTGTTCCGTACAAACGTTTATCTTCAGGATTCTCAAACATTTCCTGACAAAATTTCGGGGCTGTTGAAACATTGACGTATTTGTGTGTCCAAGAAAACATTGCTGTGGGTATGGGAATGATAAAAGCTATGAACCAGATCAAAGCAATTACGATGAACGCTTGTTTTTTCGACATTTTTTGCCGAAGTGGGTAAATAATGGCGATATAGCGATCCATACTAATAGCGACGAGAGTAAAAGAACTAAGAAAAACTGTCACTGATTGGAGGAATGTAACAACGGGGCACAAGACGTCGCCAAATGGCCAATAATTCAGAACGAGGTTAGCAACAAACGTAAAAGGGATGCACAAAAGGGCCATCAAGAGATCACTCATAGCGAGACTCACTATGAAAAAATTCATCACCGTGCGCATGCGCCTTGCCCGAAACACTATAAAACACACTGTCAAATTTCCTCCAACCGATAGAATAATAATTGCTGAATACATAGTGATAATAATGGCCTGGAGATAAATAGGAACTTGTAAAGGAGTATGACCAATAGTACTTCTTCCGTCCGCCGGAACACTTGCGTTCAAAAGAGGAGGGTTGATGGTGGCATAATAACCCTGTTCCGTAGGGGTCTCGATTCCAGTCTCTGTATCCATTGTAGTAGCCAGGACGTCCCACGCTATCTTCAACACGGATGTCAAGCGTCTTGTTTAGACATTACAGATGGTGGCCATCATTCAAGCCTGAAAATTAACAAAACAAATATTGAAGAATATATTATCAAATGAAAGTCTAATCACACACAACCCCGGAACCTTCGATAAAACATGATCTCCCTGTAGATTCCCAGAACCAATAAAAAGACTGAAATAACGTATTAACCTAATAATAAGTAACATAAACAAAACATCTGACGTATATCATTTAATTAAGTGGTCTATATCTAGCTGTGTATAAACTAATAAACGTATGTCGACTCACCCCCTCTCGGTCGGAGATACATAACGATTCTACTCAGGTGCGCTACAGTATCAGACATATTTATAGCAATCTCGAATAAATAGGAAATTAAGCAGCAATTAGGTATATCTTAATACACGTATAGCATTATAAACTAAAGACAATTAGGCCAGGATGAGAGGCCCCACAATGTACTCCGTATGTAAATGTGGACTTCCAGCGGCGATCTGGTGCTAGCGCGGCCTATACCTGCCACTCCGCTAACCCTGCCTGTCGTAATGGCCTGCCGCATCAGGATAGCCAGGATACTGGTTAGGCTAGGCCTTTTATATCTGATGCCATCTGATGGCTTAATTGCTCCCGGGAACAGCGATAGCATTTCAAATTTTTTTTAATAAGAGAGAGGATCAAAATAATGTCTTCCGTTAACCCTGTCAAGTGTTTCTCATCTTTGTTTGAACCCATGGAGGAATTAGCACCAGATTTCGGAATTATAGTCTGCCTTAAATACAAAGTGAGCACGGCGTGTGTATATAACGAAATGTATCATTTTACCTTCAAACGCTTCGACACTTTATATATTAAGTATAGCCCACAAATATATGGTTTCTGTAATTAAAAGTTCCCTTGAGAAGTTTTTCATCTTTTCTTAAATCGAGACTATCTTGACCAAAGTTTTACAAAGGTTTCCAAGTTTGATCAAATCAGATAGCTTATAAAAGATGCCCTCATCTTTCAGATAAAAATTAGGAATGTCATGCTCTTCTTATGAAAAAACATATAAGACGCTCCTTTATATAGATGTAGGTTAGAGTACGGCCGTAAGTTTGTTCTTAACCGACGGATTCGGGTCCAAGTCTTCGTTTGTATAGAATGTTAGAAGATACAGGTTCACAAAAATAACAAATACTTAGGTATTGGGTGATATGCATAAATAAAGGGTATTTATGAAACATAAATCAGGGTCTGTGTTTACAAAGACTGCTTGATATACAAACGTTTGAATTTCATTTGGACATCTTGCTGAGTGACTGGTCCTGTTTCAGAGATAATGATTATGATGATTATGATGATGATGAGTGGGAATGAAAAAGAAAATGATGAGTGAGAATGATGATGATGATTATTTATTATGCCATCTTTGTTACATACATTTTGTACTGAACCACTAGGCTGTAAAGCTTACGGAATAAAATAAACTGAACTAAACAGTGATTTAGTCTTTGACAAACTTGGTAAAAAAGCCTTTGAGTTATACGTACATCATTATTTATGGTTTTGATTTTAGATGTGGTTTTGTAAGCTTAAGTTGTTGACGCCATACATAGAGCATTGGTCATAAGACCTAGTATTTGGCCGGTATTACAACTAAAAGTAGTTCCAGTTGGTCTCGTTGGAACATTGGCGATGCTATTAAGCACTTAGTTTTTCTCTAAGCGCAGATACTTGTAGTCCGCAATGTATTGAACGCGTTGATATCAAAGTCCCCCTTCATCACTTCGGTAACAATTTCAAATGATGCAGCGTCCGCTTTAGCTTCTAGGTTTTCTCTGTATTTGATCCTCGGTATGACACAGGTACACCACTCCGTCTTATGACGTCTGTCGTGTCTTATGAAGACATAACCGTGACTGACGAAAATTTCACTTGGATGAGTATTATTTATGTTAAACAAAACTTAACAGCACGGGACTTACAGTTCAGAATTTGAAACTTGATTTCAACAAATTATTTAGGTAGAACCTCACATTCATGAAACAAATGAGTTTTTTTTTTTTTTT